TGGTGAGCATAGCTCATGTAAATGCATAAAATAATAACATTTCCTTTTTCGATAGAGCTCATATAAGTTCTTCATGTGATAATTGAGACAACTTTCTTGAAAATTCATCTCATTTTCTTGCCCTAAAAATAGTCCTACCGCGCTAACTTTAACCGCTCCCATTAATCTGGCGGCACTTTTACTGCGTGACTTTATGGGCCGGTAGATCAACCACCTGTTTAAGAGCTTTGGGACAAACTATTCGTTTGGTCCTTTCCAGGACTCTACGCTCTGAGGGGAGGTATTGCTGACGTTTTTTGTCTCTGTACGGTGGGTAGAAGATTCTTACTCGATTTTTTTGCTTCTGGAGGTAGTTAATAACAAGAGATTAGCCAGTGAATGTTCCAACCTTCTCTTCGACTAGATTAAGTTGTGATACTGATATGCGCATCCGTCGACTGATTTGGCGACGTCCTTAACTGTTGACACCTCGTCTCACGAAAACAACTGGATCGGTCGGTTCTGCAACATTTTCGGTATTCAGATTAATGGGAAACTAAAAGGCGGTTACTTGTATGTTTCTGTCGTTTCTCGTCGTATGCCTTATTTTCGCCTCTCGTCCAAAAGGCGCATCTAAAGCAGCAACTGTAAAACAGAAAGGGGCAATTTGTGTGGTGGTTAACGTCTTTCGCGCCTGAGCTTGAATGTGCAGACCACCCTCATGCACTGGCATTATCTTTACAATCCGTCACGGTCCGTTCTCCTTTCTCACTTATGCTACGCATTATTGCATCTTCTCCTCCTCTGGCAGTCTCGAGGAAATAAACTGCACCGCTTTACTCAATCCGCGTTTTAACACCTGCATTAAGTGCTCTCCTCTCCCATATTAAATAGCATTAAGTGAAAACATGTTTCCTTGTGAAGGCATTTGCCATATCCTTGATGATACTCAAGAGAGGGAGCATTGCTGTTCCTTGATAAGGCCTAATAAACCGAAGTCCTGAAAGGAGCGGAGCGTCGTGAATGCACGGGTCCGCACGACTTGACTGCAGTCAAAGTGGACCATTCCGGATTTGCCTTAGACAAAGTAATTAAAACAGCGAACCAAAATATTGAAGGAGCACGTGTCTGTCACCACCTAACACTTGGCATTTTCAATTACAAGTCAGCTAAGAGGTCATAAAAGAAAGCCCAAAGTGGCGATCCCCTCTTTATTGGTTCCTCTTGAACTTCAAAGGTGCACCGACTTTGTTATTTGGCTTGTGAGTGGCTTTACCACTCGAGCCTAATTAATTTTACTTCCGTTTAGGCTTAAAACGCTTTGATTGCCTAATTTTGGTTTCGACTGTGTAGACATCATCCAGTGAGACCAAAAATCTAATTGTTTTTTTCAACCTTTTCCAATGGAAAAGGTTAGTCAAACCTTGTCGGAATGGCAGGGTAGAAATCAATGCCCAATTTGGTCCCTGAGGTCTTCGAATGGTCGCCACTTTCATGTGTCTGTGGGGTTGGGAGTTGGGTGGAGTAGATTATCTGCCTCCTCGGCCCTGCCAACAGAGCGACTATTCAGGAGACCCACGAAACGCCTCGAATGGGTTTGTGTCACGCGTGTTCCCCTTTAGTACCGATGTTGCCTCCATCTAGTCAAATTTCCCAATGTTGACGACTGCATGGGATTGGACAGGCACTAGACCGTCATGAATTAGTAAAGCAAAGCCAGCGGCCAGCTAATACGAAGGGGATGCGATGAGACCAACTGCATCGCGCCTTCCCATCGCTGAGGCGCACGGAGCTTCGCAGTATAAGTGTGCTTTAATTAATCATTTTATGTACTTGGTGTAAACAGTGGCGCTCTTTTTTTGCGCTTTAATATTAATCCAAACAATCAAATCGAATGGATATAGAAATACACTGTAGGATTGAAGGCGAGAAAAAAATTACGCTCCTCTGATGGGAGATGTGGTGAGCAGTTAAACTTTAGTGAAGGCTGTTTGGGGTAAACACTTCGAAGTGTTTTGGTACCGAAGGTGAGATCGCAGTTACAGTCGCAGTCGACCTCATTGCCATCGACGGAAGCTGCAGACCACATTGAATACTAATGGGAGTCAGTCCGTATTCCCCGGCGGAAGGCAAAAATGTGTCAGAATGTTGCTGTTAAGCTAAGGAGTCATAACACAAACCACTTCACTTTTATCGCACCACAAAGGAGACATCATTCTGAGGCGTCCAAAGCATGCTTAGCTTACATTAAATATTTTGTGCCTCTTTGAAGGTGATGTGGAGGGAGGAGTGTGGTCAGTCACACAGAGAGACTCAAAACGCAACCAAGCGTATCAGAAATGCGTTTTACTTACAGCTTTTGCCCGGGTTCCCTACTTTCGCCTTAAAAAAGGCACAAAAAGAGGCGCCTTACTGTTTAAACAACAACATTACGCTGGTGTCACAATTACGCCACACGGCTTAGTAAACTTCACTCACAGATGTCTACTTTCTCATCAGGGGTTGAATGACACGGACATGTACTCCTTGTAGAGGCAAAATTTCCAGTCATGCAGACACGAAACAGCTACTGCTTCGAGTACTTAGTGACGAAGGCAAAAATGCCTCGTCAGCGCACCTGTTGCCCCTTCATGCAGCGCACGCTGTACCGAGTGGCGCGAAACCTGGCACGTCTTGATTTGGGCTTCTCCTGTCCCGACCTGGAGGGTAGCTCGAGTCCCACCTCCACTGCCACACCTACGCCTACAATGAAGCGAAAGGCTTCGCCTCGAAAGCAGCGGCACCATGGTAGGGAGCGGCGACTGGAGGAGATCAGACCCAGCTCAGGTGGTGTTCTCAACTGGCTGGTTCGTGGCACTCTGAGTCGTCGAGATCCTTCAGATACCCTCTCTTCTGCACCACCCATGCCTCGCAGTGATATCGACAACGAGACCCTAAACGAACAAGGCGACCCAGCACTGCTAGAAATGGAGGTATGTGAGACCTATTAGACCAGTGCTGCCATGCTCTGCATCAACGACTTTAGGCAGCTAACTCGTAAGTGGTCCGCTATTAGCAGTTGGATGCTTCAGAGTCAATAACGTCTGATTAAAACGATGATAAGACCTTCAGTCGTCTTTTATCTGTGCACTAAAATTCACTTTGGCAATGCATTACCTCGCAACAGAGCATGATGAATTGCTTGCCGTGACTAGACATGATTGCTGCCTTTAGAGAAGAGTAAAATTTGCCCAAATCGACATTATGCAACTCTTTGATAACACTCCTAGCATTAAGCCAAGTAGTTTAGTTTTCTTTTCGACGTAAGCTATGCCTTAAAACTAGCGGATGAAATGACAGTTACTCAAACGAACCCTCATTGCATAATCGAGGCTTCAAGTGGTATTTCACGTCTTCATTTGTAGGATTTACGCAGGTTTAGCGACTGTCTGACTGCACTAGCATCACTCTTAGCGCCCTTCCCGTGTGAGACACTTAAAATGGGCTTGGGAATGGAAAAGGTGTAATTAGGAAGAGGTCGTCCCATCCACCTGATGTGATGTTTTCTAGTAACCGTTGAAATGGCGAAATCCTTGAGTTGTTAAAGTCGAGGCTTCCATTCAATCCCACCATGGCCCTCGAGTCTGAAATGCAAGCACAGAATTCAAACGCCCCTTCAATGTCTGTATAGGCTTACAACCCCCGGTTTCGCACAGTATTGTTTACTTTTGGAGACACATCATTAATTTGTGAGATAAGCGAATAAATGTTAAAGTTAAGCTAAAACACTTCCAATTGAATTGAGTGGAGAAAACATTTTCTTCTGATTGAAGGAAGAGACGACGAATGGAGAGGCAGCTGATCACCTCCTTCTGAAACAGAAAAGGAAGCTGCTTCGAAGGCAAAAGATCTACGACATGGACTCCTCTATGGATGTGACCACGTCTGGGTGCGTTGTCAATCTTAAATGGCGAATTGATGGAAAGGTCGCTGTAGTAGTTTGTGCTCTGGCAGAAGTGTCGCTGGTAAACAGAATGCAGACAAACGAAAACACTGAACACCGGGGAAGAGAGCTACACTCGGGAGTAAAATGTTTATTGGCTCTTTAATGTTGATTTTTACTTAGAATGAAGTCTGAGAATAAGGAGGTAAGCTGCTTCACAACCAAAATGAGCAGAGATGCAAAGGCGAGTTGTCAAAGAGTTAAACAATTTATGCGCGTGTGTGTGTAAAAGGAGAGTTGAACATCCAAAATGCCCTTGAATGCCATTACTTACCCATTTGGCTCAACTCCATGATGGAAATGGTGTAATTATTACCATCAAGTATAAACAGGAATAATGGAGCATTAAACTGCCCTTTAGTCGGCTACCATGGAGCTTGCGCTCAGAAATAAACCATAACAGGTGAAGAGAACGGCCTTTCAATGGAAAAGGTCAAGGCGTGGGCGTTCCCTTTGGGAATTTCTTGCCACTTTTGTAAAAAGTAATGTTAAATGATTTGACAAACAAAAATACAGGAGCAAATGTGTTGGCGCATCTTCACTTTGTTCGGTTGCAGCCTTCTGTGTATTATTATTTTAACTTTTCTTCTCTGAACAACGAGATAAAATAGCTGTTGAGTTATGGTGTTTTGCTGCCTAAAGGAACTGGACTGAGGAAAACACAAACGCCGGGGATGCGAAATTAAGACTAACAGATAGTGATCAAGAGGTTGTCCGACCGCTGCCGAATCAACCACCAACACGAACAGGTAACAAGGCTGCACTAATAACATTTTTAAAAAAAATCACATTATTCCGTAATCATCTCACTAGATTGATACAATAAGACCTAAAAAATAAACTTGCATTATATGGACTTTTTCCCCTTCCTTCTTCTCACTTCAGCCTAAATGCATGCATAAGGGCAGTCGTGTGTTCCCTTTTCACCTCATTGACGTTTCCGTATCCGCTAAAACTGCTCCTGTAAAAGAAAGCAAACAGGGTAATTTATTTTCAAAACTGCTTTATCCAATTTAAAAATTTCTGCCAAAATTCCTTTTATTCTTCCCAACGGTCTCGATACTTGAATTACTAGGCACGCGAGAGTATTCGCCTGTTAAAGTCATGCCATTATTTGATAAGGATCGTAAAATCTAGTCTTTAGAAATTACTGATAAAGTAGGACTATATGAGATATTCCGAGGCATGATAGTCATTGCTATTTTCTTTCCCACACATTTTTAGAGATGCAAAGTTCTTGCACCTGATCACTGTTATTATGATTTTCGCATCAATCTTGCCTAATTAGTTAAGCAAGAAGTCGAAAACAAATATTAGATGAGAGTGTTCAGACCCATCAATTGTTGTTTAAGCCCACCAGGAAGACTGACAGCACCTGACACTCGCTAAAGGGTGGGAATTCGAGCGTCTTGCTTGTCGTGAAGGCTTTGTAGGGCCTTCTCGAACCCTACATTTAGTCTTTTCTTGCAAGAAAGCAGCTTATTTTCATTATGTCCAAGCATAGATGGCTTCTAAGTGTTTCACGTGTGTCATCATGGCTTTTGGAACCGTGTAATCTGTATTAATTAAAGCACCACCCATAATTTATCTTACCAAATGACATCCATCGAGTGAAAAGCACATTACTTAACGAGAAGGCATAAACGCAACGAACTCCTCTTCTCGAAGCATGCTTTTACTTTTGGTTTACAAATTAAAGTTGCTGGAAAAAGTAAAGTGAATGAATTATTAATTTTAGGGATTCCGAGTAACAGCTCGGGAATGTAAGAACAGGTGGATTTTGCAGGTTTGGTCTTGTTTGAATGAAGTAGGGACGGGTCTTAAGATAGTTTTGGACTTTGACTTGAAAAATGGAACCTTTGTAAACACATTGAACTCATTAGTTAACTTGCTTTTTACCTCAATTTACCAACTTCAAAACAAAAGAGCTTGATTAATTTTCAATGGTCTTATTAATTTCAACTACAATTAGGTGACAGTGGTAAAGATCCTTGTTGCATAAGGCAACCGCTTTTAGTTTATATTAAGAGGCTACACGCTAGGCGTGTCAGTTCAACCTCACAAGTGGGGCAGAACTCGATGGACCAGGCTTATGCACCGCCTTCTCAGGCGCCACAGGCCACGAAGCACCACGCACCAGCTCCTCTGAGAATCACTCCAGAGATTGATGACTGGGAGAGAGAGGTAAAGGGAGAGGCGGGACGATCCCACGATCAAATTGACCCCAGCATTCCCTTACCAGTGTCCACCACCACCGCTACCGCCAATACCGTCTCCACCTCCATCGCTCCCACCGTCATACCCCCTTTCTCAGTGAGGGAACCAGTGGAGAAACAAGTGCGCAGTTGGCTAGAGAGCACTTCGGACGAATATGACATCCTCCTTAAACGGTCAGTCCTCTATCCTCTCAACTTTGCATTTCGCATCTGGAGTTAGCGTACAACCATTTTAGACGAATTACTTTAGTATAACCTTTATGTGTTCAAGGGTCAGAGCACTTGTGCTTATAACCTTTTTATACTGTTTGTTGGTAAAAAAACCTACTATGCATGAAAGCGCCTTTTTCAGCTTGGCTTCACTCCACTTGATGTCTCTCTAGGCGACAAAAGAGTCCTGTTCCTCCAACCCAAAATTTAATTCCACTTAATTATTTATTTGAAAATGGGCGTTGGGTTAGAACAAGTGTGCTCTTTTCCTTTTTATTTCACAAAAGCCTGTTAAAATAATGCCAGACTTTTCCTGTAATGCATGGATGAATTTAAATTGCGCAGACACCCATTTTGTGACGCCACTGGAAAGAGTCTGAGAGAATTAAAATAAAGCGCAAGTTCCCACATATTATTACAGTAAAGACAAGAGAAACAACATTTGGCGTTATTGTTATAGCGCGTATAGTAGGTGGGACCTCACAGGTTGGGTTCTGGCCCTCCAGCCCTAATGGATTACGGCGCCTTGGCTCAGCCGCCTTTTAGCATCCTACCGGTTCCAGACACTTGCGGGCGGTGGCCAACTTAGCGCTCAGTCATTTTGTTTTGGCCTACTCTGTGCCGTCTAAAAGAATACAATAAAACACTACCAAAATGGTAGTGTGACGTGTTGTTGAAGATTCTGTGTGAGATTGAGACGAGGGGATGCATCTGAGCGCCGAGCATCCCCTGACACCAACCACTAAGGCAGAAGCGACTTTGGAGTGAAGACCGTGCCTACGAGAACGCCTTTAAGCGAGGTCAAAAGGCTCGAAAGGACTTAGCCGAGACTGCTCTTTGTATTTTTAGTACTCGCCTAATGAGGGACAAAAAAAGGACGTTGTTTGTTTTTAAGTTTTAATTCGATTTCATTTAACTGCTGAGAGCAGTTAGAGACGTTCAACTTTTTAAATGTTTGCTCACAATGCATTTCGAAGGCAACTCAAGCGTCAGAAATGTGAGCTCGTCTACCAACGAAGTCCAGGTTTCGGGATTTTTTGCATGAAATACAACGAAGTTCTCGAAGCTTAAAAAAAACCCCAAAATTTAACCTCCTTCGCATCCTACTTACCTTAGGCGGCGCCACAATTTACGTTTTCTAGACTAATCAGGCGGCACTTTGTAATGTCAATTCGATCCATTGTAACAAACGCGATTTTCTTCGTCTCTACGAAACTGCCATACAAATTTTTCGCTAAGGGAAAACCTCTCCTTGGGTTCACTAATTACACGCCATTCCTTCAACTCCGATTATACCCGAAAGCTTTGTGTCACAATCCTCTTGGTCTGCCTCGAGAATACCACTGGAAAAAAGCCACTGAAGAGGTTGCTTTTACTTATCAAAAGTTGAAGCGACTAATGCTGCTTTCATTCAAGGCTGGAGCCGCTGAAGATGCAATTTATTGAGAGCACAGGCCCTCAAGCCTTCCACACCACAAAAAGCACCAACAAATTGCTCATCGAGTGGATGAGGTGTTGTAACTTCGAGGCATAACGGCTCAAAATCCTTTTAGATTGAGGGCATCTGAGACGAGGGACTGAAAGGTCCAGGAATGACCAATTCGCCCATTTGCCTAAGGCCAACAAAAGCACCGACTTGAGGTTCGCCTCGTCTGTACTCTCGTTTCGTATACGCTTTAAACGACTCCAAAATGAGTTGGCAACGGCGATTTGGTCCTCCAGTGAGCAAAGAGTCCTGTAGTTGCATTAAATTACCATTTCTCAACAATCAAAAGGTAGGAGTTTTAATTAAAATCATAACGCAATCTAGCGCATGTTTATAATGAAATAGACTGCACGAAAAGATAATTTGGAGGGCATAAAATAATAGATAAATTGGAGGCAGGAAGAATTTTATGCGCTCCTAATTAACTTGCCGTCGATGCGATTGCATCGTATGTCGGACATAAAGTGGACCCCAACTGCACCGCGCGTGGTCGTCCGTCCACTCGACTTGGAGATGCAGTGCCCTTTTACTGTTTGCTTGCACTTCCAAACCCCCAACTTCCGTCTGCTTTGCGGACATAGCGAAGGTCCAAGATGACTTTTACGGTTATGGGAAAGATCGTAATTTTAAACTAATGTTGAATTATGAGCAAAGGAGAGGGTTGAAACATGTGACCGTAGTGCTGTTGAGGGAAAAAAATAGTTGAACAGGTGGAGAAGCATACCATTTTCTGTCCGTGATGCTAACCAACCTATCCAATGATGATGAACTGGTAAAATTTTTATTTTCGTCTCACCAGACTTTGCAATTAACAACGACATGTGATTATGCTGCTGCCCTCAACTCCAATTTGTTAAGGAAATATTTTGCCTCTTTTTTTTCAATTCCGATGCCCAAACCTTTGGGTCATATGGTTGCCTGAGTTTTAAACCGGATACGCCATAAACCTGTAAAAAGGCCTTGCTTCCTGAAACCAGACAGAGGGGCACGTTGCTCCGTAGGGGACACTCAAATCACTCCTGAGCATCCCTTTTAGCCTGTTTGACATGCCATCTCCAGTCCCCTCCCACTTTACTAAAAAGGCTTTCATCTTTCATCTCACTAAAGTAAAATCTGGGATCGACGATGAAGATAACTGTCCAACTGGAGAGTCGAATCATCTTGCCGCCGTCTTAAGCACAAATGCCGTTCAAACTGAGCTGTAGTAGAACAGCGATGCTGAAAATGCGGAGATCAAAGTCGGTTCGATGTAACGACTGTGTACATGCGGAGTGTAGAGATGTAGCAGACGTCAAGTAAAAGCATGAACAGAGCGTTGCGCCCTTTGGAGGCTGAAGGACAAAGGCTTACAAAGTGTGAAGCCATAAGGTGTCAAAGAAAATGTGGTAACAGTCAAATTAGGCCATAGAAATGCATTAACAATTCCTTAGGCGGGAGAGTGGGGAAAAGCAAGGGTGACTATTCGCTCTACTCAGTGGGAAGGTGGTTTGCAATCGGCATTACTTGTTAGCATAAGTTCGTAAGCCTTCATGCGGAATTAGAGCATGGATCGGGCATTTTGCTTGTTCTTGCAAACCACCTTCATCTGCGGTCTTTTGCAGTGTACAATCTGAGCCAGCGAGATAACAAAAAGAAGCCTCTGCAAGGGTAGAGTAGGCGATTTTTTTCCCCTGCACAGAGGGGAGAAATAAGAGGAATTACTTGAAATTCCTAGTCCGCTCTCTAATTTGCTATACCAAAGAATGGAAACGTTATGATTATTCAGCCACAACTCATCGCCTTCACCTCACCCACTCCACTGCTCCGTTCTGCCCCTGCACATCGTCCGTCAACGATGCTTGACTTTCCGTTGGAGGAGAGCGGAAGTGGGACCAACGACTATGGACGAGTAGAGTGGGCTGTGGATAAGGCTCTAGTTTAGACAAAATAAAGAAAACTTGAACATTAAGAAATGAAGAGACAGAAAGGGTAGAAAACGTCTTTTTGTTATTTTATTGATAAACACAGTCGCATCTCACCTCGTCCGCTTGCCATTTCTGCGCTTCTACACTTTTTGACGAATTTCAACAACTGCTTTCACAAACTGTCATTGAAATTGCAGCAGCATTCTTTAAGCAATTAGGTAAAGGATATGAAAGGGAATACAGACCGGACATTTGAGTTAATCACTCCCCAGAGATGTATTTCTATATTTCGTCTCGGAGGCACCATATAGCCATCATTATGCACTAACCCGAGTCGTAAACACCCAGCATGAGAGTATTTCCATTCTCCTCGTCCCTTTTCCATATTGCATGTGATAACTTGAAGGTGGACAAGAAAGGGCTATCCATTGCTCGGTTAATGTGTAGAAAAGGAGATTGGGAGGAGTGGATGGACAGTCAAGAAGAATGGCGCGGATCCAAAAGTGTTGCACATCGATGCTGACAAGTGTTGCTGAATCGTGCAACTTGTGCAGCGCTGATAGGGAAGAATGATGAGATTTGCTCCCCCATAAACAAATCCCTTTTCATTCCGCTCAAATGCGTCGCAGAGATAATAATTGTTTCACCAAGGGCCCATAAAGTAACTTTAGCCAAATTGAAATCGGAGAGGCTTTGACGCATTCATGTTCAATGGATCAGTACAGGTGTCCTTGGTTTCACTTCTCTTCCTCCTCCTCCCCCTCCTCCACCGCAGAAGTTGAAGGCTCCTTTCACACATTTTGTCCTCGGGAAAGTGTAATTCCTACCACACAGCGCTTCACTACGTCGACTTTCTGATCCCAAAACACTTTACTTCAAGTTGTCATCCCTTGGTTAATGAAGAATGTCCAGAACCTCAGGAAATCACCCATCGCCATTCGTGGATGCTTCAAAATTTCCCTCTTTTTACCAACTCGCCATTCATACTAGGAAATGTAAAAGTGTTTTGGTTGAAATGTCAAGATGCGTGCACACTCACACACAAACGCATTCAAATTGTCCCTTGAGTCTTCCTTTCATTATTAATGCACATTAATCACGAGCTCAGCATCTCTTGGGGCAACATTTTGCCATGCTCCTCGAGGCGCGATCCACGTAGGGGAGTCAGGCAACCTCCATTCTGCCGTGCCTTGGATCAGCCACTCTGATCCCTTAATCTGCTCACCAAACTCCTTTGAGACCTCTCTTACAAGCATCCTGTAAGACACACGTTCTAATCTCACAAATGTGTTAAAAGGCGGCAAATGGAGTTCTGAGCTGCTAACAACTGACACGTTTTGATATCCGTAAGCATAATTTTGCTGGTGTGATGCCACTGCTTCCAGTCAATAACGAGCGAGGATGGATCTTATGGGCGTGAATTTCCGAGTGCAAATTCGTTTTCTAGCCGTCCTGCATTCCAACGTCACAATTACTTTCTCTATCAGTGAACAGCATTAACTAAACGACCTTTGGATGATTTAAACTGGGGTGTGGTTCCATATGGTGCCCTCTTCTAGTTTCCTCAACTCCTTATTCGGCTTGACGTCAAATGAGTTTACAAGTAGGATTTCATCTTCAAGCCGATTAATCATTTCGGATCATACGCACGACTGTGGAGACAAGGCGAGGCATTGTTCAACCCTCTTCGGTGTGATTGTTAATAGACTCCACATCATTTGCGTAGTAAAGTAAAAAAAAAAAGTTATCCACCTACTATGCTGGAGACGCATGTTTTGCAAATCCCCACCTTTACTGCTATCTCCAGCCTACTTACGCCACGTCCAAAATGAGTGTCGAAAAGGTGGGAGCTAAAAATAGCCTAACTACTAAAAATGCCATCGCAGTGCCCTCGCGTGCTGCCTACGAGAAAGGGCTACAATTCAGTACACAATGCACTTTTGCCGTTTCCCTTGCTCTGGCCAAGCCCTTGAGCATGAGGGTAGTGATTTCTGTGGCTTTGTTACACCCTTCCACTTCTCCAGACAACATGTATCGAGAGCAGGTACATTTTTTATTCACCCTCGTGATGCTAAGGGCACTTTGCTAGGAGGACATTGTCGTAGCCGTCTGTGGGTGGAGCAGCAACACTTGTGAGCTCGCACAGATCCTAGGTGGAAAGATTTTAATGGAAGTTGGATGCACCACCTCACGACTTTCCTTACAGACAGCAGAGGACGATACTTGGATAAAATGTGTACGTGCTGCGTGGTGAGACTTGAGGTCCAGATGCCATTCTAGCAAGACAAACACGTAGTTCATAACAAAAGCTGAAATTTGAATGCACATCAAAACACGACTCAATCTCTAGATACCCTTTCGAGAGGCATATGCTGCCCTTTTTACTGGTAACCCAGCACCGGCTTGGCTCCCATTTGTTAGGATGTCTGACCACGAGGTCAAACATCATTCTTGCCAATTCCATTGAGTCTGGTGCACTGTCACGCATGGAAATGTGGATCAGAAGTGGAGAATGCGTTAAGCATTAATGACGAAAAAGTCGAGCTAATCAACCAGAGCACGGAGCCCAGCACAACGCCGTAGGGAAGGCGCTTTATGACCGTTTATTTCTAACCACCTTGTTCCCATTTCTGTCCTGATTAGTCATGCTTACCTACTTGGATTGCATCCAATCAACAGACGGGTGGAGGAGGTCGCCTGTCAATCCATTTGACATTCTCACACAAGCACATTTGGAAGTTTAGTAATCACCTTTTCTCGATGATTTGCAGCCACAGCTAATGCGGCTTTCCTTTTTACTCTCCTTCCTGCAGACCGTAAGCTTAAAGCTGTAGAGTTTGTGTTTCATTGAGTTGCTACTGACGGCCTCATCTCCAGGCGATGCATTTGTTCCCATCTGCTGGCGCTTTTACCTCCCATCAGTGGTAAGTGGAAGGCCTTCCCTTAACACTAAGGAAGCGTCTTGAGAAAGCACAACATTTTTTCACTCATCAGGACTTCGTATTAGTCATTTGGTTTGGAAGCTGACCTGACCGGCTACAATAGTTGCAAGGAAGTGCTCCTTGTGCTAAGATCAAGCGTCAAATCTACGACCACCGTAATGCTTTAATTTTACTATGATCGAATGGCACTTGTGCAAGGTGGATTTGAGTACACAGACTATTCCAAAACACCGCCTTAGATTAAATCACGGGGTTGGAGAAGCAGTTAAGAAATTGGCACTTCGTAAGTCCTTTCTCGAGGATTGCATTGGTAGTTGGTCAAAGCCAAATGGACAACGGCCCGTGAGGGAGTGGCCTCTAAATCGGACCAAATGAAAACGTTTTTTTTTCAATGAAAAGTATTTACATTGGAGAGGAGAGTTGCCATTGTCGAAATTAAAAAAAAAAAACCTCACGATGAGAAACCAAGTGTGATCGGAGCTTTGGCGGAGCATTTGACTTGTTCAGATTGGAGGGATGTCATCCTTTTACCCTTTTTTAGCCCTTACCTTTGTCATTGCATTAACCGAACCAAAAAAAGGCGATCAGCCTAACATTTAAAAGGGTGTTTAATGCTCAAGTTCTATGGGGCTTTTGAAAGAACGAATTTCTGCTGTCATAGGTGGTCTGGTCGAACGAGCATCGCAAAGGGCAAAAATGGTGGAGAGAATAGAAGCCTTGATTTGCGCCATCAGGTCTCTGGTGAGTCCGGTAAGCGAATCTCCACCTGTGGGTCCGAAGCGGGTCACAAAAAGCAGCTGCCCCGCCTGTGGAAACAAACAACTCCAATGAGTCAGGCCATCATTCAAAACCACTTGGAGCACCAGCATCAAAGCTTCGGACGATCGTTGTCTAAGAAAGAGTTGACTGTTCCCTCCTTTGGATTTGACTCTGGTGAGATGAGTATGCTGCAGAGCTTGGAGGAGAACCCGGAGGAGGATTTCATGTCTCTCCTACCGCCTGTGTCATCTCAACGACGATTCAGCGATAATCCACTGATGGCTAAACAGCGTGGTGGCTGCGCTTTCCAGCCCATGATGTCACCTACCATCATCAATTATTCAACCCATGATCTTGAACGCAATGTAAAGCTGCGCAGTGCTCCAACTCGTTCTTTCTGTTGCATTTATCACAAAAGGCAGGGCTACGATAAATCCTATCGCTCGCCTAATTGCACCTGCTCCTGCTCTCAACTTCGAAAAAACCCAACCTCCAACTCCTACACTGAGATGGTTATGATGTATCCTGGAGAAGTAACTCTGCCTAACTGTTGTCACTCACCACACAACTCTGAAAATTTGCCCAACGAGGAGTGCTGCAGCTGTTCACATCACAGAATGAATAGATTTTTAGTGGAAGATATGGCAAGCGAGGTGACAGGCAGTCGATGTTACTCACCGATCCCACCCCAACCATCCATTGCTCCCAGAAGCCTCGGTAGTCCACCTTTCTTGGCATCGCCCTACAGAAACCCCAACCCACAGCAGTACACACAGGAGCGTCTCTCACGGCAGATCTGTCGCGATCGACTGACAGCAGACAGGGATCCTGAAACGCCGTTCTTAGACATGCTGACGGATAACGAAACATTTGAAAAGGAAGTTCAAAGGTACCTCGATAAAGATATTCAAAAGGAGACTAGTGAGGAGGGTGCAAATGCACCACAATCGCAGGCATCGCGACTCATTCCACCCGACCTCGTTTTTAGCCCTGCGTCCAGACGCGTTTCTGCGGTGGACATAGGTGAGGAGGTGGTGGGATCGTCGGTTATCAATATGTTGACAGTTAGTTCATCATCGCGACAATTATCGCGTCAGAATTCTATCTACTCAATGGAGGATGGTTGTCACCACCAACAACAACACAGCACCATCTCGCCTCAAGGCAGTCTGGGCTCAGAAAGGGGAACTTTTCTAACACCAGAATACCAAACTGCTGCTCCCGTGATTGCAGCAGCCAATATGGAACCAAAACAGTGGGTCAAGCCTGCTCGATCATTCGATCACGTGTCGAGCAGAAACTTTGTTGTTCACAGAGCTGCTTCACACTCACCGAGCCATCTCTCTGCTTATACTCAGGAGTACATGAACAAACCTACTGTGCATCGTTCGGACACCGACTGCTTTGTCCGAACGAACCAATATCCCCTGGATAGTCGACCAGCTCAGATCGAAGTAAATGCTCGCAGAACACCCGAGTTCCTATCCCTCGATTCATCAAATAGTGATCCGCAGCACATTGAAGCAGAGCACAGACATTCCTACAACATGGAGGGACCGCAGTCTTACGGTGGCAGACAGCACTTTCGATCCGACTCCACTGGCGATGGAAAGCGTGCGCCCATTCTGCTGAAGTTGAAACTTACTTCCCTTACAACCAGTGCTGACTGCCTGAAACAGCAACCCGTGGTCGGAGGACCCACAGTTCTTAGCGCAGGACATCATCGAGCTCCTTTTTATGTCAATTCTCACACCCATCGAGAGGCGACTAGACGACTGGCTCAAAAGAAGATACAACAGAGATCGGGCAAAGACCTGCATCCTCGTAAAAGCCTTGAAGTGGAGTCTGCTTGGTCATCTTCGCAATCGGCTTCATTGCATAGCTCCAAGTCACCAAGTCGAAGCCTTCATCCTCGATCCAAGTCCTCAGAGGTTGATGTTCGTGGTGGCTATTCACCCACAACGAGATGCGTACGTCGAGACTACACAATAGACGAGAGAACAGATGAGATATTTCAAACTTTTTTACAACACGATCCTCTCATGGACGACTTGACTGCACAGCACTCATTGAAAGGAGGCAAGAAAAGTTTACAACAATCCTGAGGGCTCAATACAGGAGGTTACTAGTCCCTTTGCCTCTCCTGTCTGACATTTTCAGTCACCACGTGAGTGTATGTGGCCTGGCCTTTGGTTCCTCCGCTCCCATCACCACTTCATGGACTGAGCCTTGACCCTACTTGCGATGTCACCTTATTTATAGCCTCACCGGCACACCTCCATGCTCACACTTTCAGGTGCTGTACGACGTCGACACGGACATACTCATACTTTTGTATTATGCCAATGTGAGTGAGAAAGGGCATTCTTGTGGTAGAAGCATTTCCAGCATTGCTTGACATTGCTTGCTGGCTTTCTTTTAAACTTGAAAAAAAAATTCCAAACCATGCGAAGCCTTCACTCAACAAAACTCCCCTTCTGAGACTGGGGTAAATGCAGGGCGCATGATGGGAAAAATTCCTCCTCATTCAAATGAAGCATATTTAAAAGCTCCTTGTCCGATCTTACTGGCGTAGTGAGGACAATGCAGTTGTTGTTTGTGTGCTGTGTTAAACATCAAGCAGTGTGAAACATAAGGGCACAGAGAATACCCACTTTAAAGTCTAAAAAAATCAAATATGTGGAGATCGGAGACTTTCCTAACGCCACAATGAGACACATCCACAGACTGGAGTCTACTAACCTAAACTAGGAGTCAAGTTGCCTCAGAGTTCTTCAATTAGTCTTCGACTGTGTACAGCACAGGCTTCCTCCTCTTCTGAGCGTCTCCTCTCGATTAACCGCTCACGTCGGTCATCAAGAGGCGATTCGTGCTACACGAAAGACTCACTTGCAAATGAGAAGGTGCACGCCTTCAAGTCCAAGCTTCCTATTCATGTGCCGACTGTTTGAAGTTTGAGGACGGATGGAATGTCAGTCAGGGAGGGGGGACACTTGATGCGATTTAGCGGCTGCTTAACCCTCGATCGTGGTTCTACCTTCGAGTGGTCCAACCTTCTCTGTCACAGCTCTCACGGTGAAGGCGACATTATGAGTTCATGCAAATGACAATCAGGTGGTTTGCAGGTTGTCTCGCCCTCGTTGTTAAATACATCTTCCGTGAAAAACGTGAATTAAGGATAGTTTTTAAAGCTGTACTTCAGCTTATCTCGATTGTTTGAAGTCATCACAGCCTCTTTATACCCCCCAACAATCACTTCTATCGCGTTAAAGCGAGATGAGTGTCTCTTAATTTAGGATTTTTTCCAACCTCCACAGATGTACAGCTTTGCAAAATACTAAACAACTGGGAGAAGACTTGTGAGATTTCTCGCTAGCACAAAATCCAGGCCTTTAGGTATTGTTAAAAAGGTCTGCTGAACACTGCTTGGAGCAGTGGCTTGCAATTTTTACTACTTTGACACCGAATTATGAGATCTCTTCGGAAGGGATGAGCACTCTCTCTATTTGGTCCCTCTAGTGATTGAAAAATAATAAAGTTATTGGGGAAATAAATCTCAAAATGTCAACCAGCATAATCTCTCTAACACACGATCAGCAGATGAAGAGACACTAACTTTACCTGTGGTGGATTTTTTTGTTGCCGTCACGTAAACTCACGCACTCCCCGCCTCATTAAGTCTCCCAGAGATGCACGAGTTGATCAAATCATTCTTACGCTAGGCGCAAATATGATTGCCTCCTTTTTTTTAGTTCAAAGGCGCACGTCCGACTCAGATCAGCTAATAATTTTCACCGTAACCATAATTTCTTGCCGCTACGGTAAAGGGCTTTGTTAGTCACACAAAAAGACAACAATTCCACTTCGTAGAAGCCGAAGACGTTACCATCCAAGTGTGGAATGCTGTATTTAAGTCTACACAAGGCTGTTTTGTTTGTTGACACTGCGCCTCCCTTCAGTCACAAACTCACGGTCCACTATTTGCCATTGGATCTATTTGGCCTCCATGTAAGAGGGACACAAACTTAACTTGCACGTCTTCACCTCATATTTCACCCAGTTATACTGTTTGGCATTGCCGAAGATGACGGTAATGTCAGATGGGTGAGTTTCACTTCCAATCAATTGCGCTCTTTGTCGCTGTGTCAGTCGAACTGAGGTGCAGCACATCAGTCTATCGCCCGTCTAAAGGGTAGAAAGGAGGACTGCGTTGGTGAATTTATTAGGCTTCGAAGTCTAATCCTTTTATGCTTTTTCACCAGAGACTTCACCATATCAAATTATTGTTTTGTTGTGGACTAGTTTATACAACGCTACTGCCTATCATAAACCAAACTCGTAAATCCGGTCCTCCATATGGTCTTGGAGTGACCGAAGCCTAGCGATAAGCGCAAATCCCTCCAGCCTACAATAAGTTTACGGCCAAACAAGTGCTCCTACCACTTCTTTATGTCTTATGACTTTTCCCCTCCACCACAATCAACTGTGCTGCACAATCTTGCCTTTTAGAGCCATCGAAGGGAGTCATTTCGGTTCCACAATTGGGTGAATCCTTGTTTTACACCATTTCCTTTTAACCACATTTATTTTCCATACTTCTGTTCGTTGACACACATTTCCACGAACTTTGTCTCTTTGGCAGTCCTCCGAGTCTGTGAGTGTGACCTCTCTACGCCTTCAGGACGAACTCTGCGTTGTCAACATTCAGAAGAGCGCAGAGGTGGCTGAATGGCTTCAATGTTAGCTCTGCTTGACGATAATTTTATTTACAGAGCATCCTAATAGCTCTTTTACAAAGCATCGAGAGTTGTGGCAGTATCCGCGCACCACATCTTCTTTCCCTTCTTTCGAGCGCCGACTCGAATGCTCCCTTCCGTTGGTTTGACCACGACAATTTGTTAATGCTGCAAAAACAGCGCTTGTGAATGGCTCACAAAATGGCCTTCAAATATCCGTACAATTCAAAGGATGTTTGGTAGCTAAGCCACTGGTTCACTTTAACAACTCTGTTGAGGCTGGAGTTTGTTCGTTATGGAATTGAATTTCAGAGCAGGAAGTTATGCATGTCATCGTCCCTGTCCACGGCTATCTGTTGAAGCATTGGCCGTAACACAGGAGAGTGTAGTGAACAACACCTCATGCATGATTTTATGGAAGTTGGCTTTAAGTTCGGCTCCTTCTTGGAGGGGATATTATGCAACCACTCAGTTGACATCATAACACAAGCGAGGTGTACAACTTTATGACAAGCCTTTGATATCTGAAGTTGGTTCACTTTTCAAAAGCACATGAGTTGTCATTCTGCTGTTATGCCAAGATGTAGGACTAAGGAGTGGAAATAGGAGTAGATTTTCTGTGGACACGGATTTGCTTCCTACCTTCGCAAAATATATTTGCCAAAGACTTATTTGAAGTTGAGAGGGACTTGGGAATTTGGTGATGCATTCTGGAATGCTGACACACAGGGGCACTCGAGGCTACTGGCGTGGCCTAAAGGTCAGTCTGCTCGAGGGAGGTTTAGTAAAGAAAGCATCTCATTTTCTTCCTCCTGGAATCCTCTTCACACCTCTGCTGCTTGGAAGGGATCAAACTGCATTCTTTCAGCAAAATGGAGGTCACCACACCGAGCAGTTTGGCCATTTTTGTCACCAACACCAACATCAGGTGGCCCGTCCAGATTAGTGCAACAACAAAAAGCACAAGAAAAAGAGATTAGCTGTTACTGCTATCTCTGCTTCAACATGTGGACCAATTTGTTACTGATTTGTTCGTGTCTTGGCAACTACAGGCGGCGCTTCAATTGATCCCATAAGTCGGGTACTTTTTATGCCAAAAATCGAATGAAAGAGGAGTGTCCTGGCCTCGATTTCACGGGTGCTGGACTTTTTCTCAAAAATAATGCGCCGACTGGAGGGGAAGAAGACCTCCCGAAAGCAACCCAATCAAGAATTGCATCGGCAGTGTGGCTAATAACATCAGCCTTTGTCTTTTGCCGATGCTTTGGGCCCAGAGTCAAATAAGTGGACGTTAAAAAGTCAAGCATTCTTTTGTTGTCAACATAAGCAGGAGCTTAGATCTCTTGTTTAGGAGGAGAGACGTTTTCTTGACCTGGTAACTTAGGGCCAGTGAGTTGAATGGGAAAAAAATCTGTAGCTAAGAGAGTCTCGTAAAAGTGGCTTCAAAGTGGAAGACCTTTATTCACCAACTTTCTTGGATCACTTCCCTAGCACGGCATTGGAGGTACCGCCATGAGGAAGTAACTCGAAGCCTCATCACCTTATAAAACGTTCCAGAACGCTTAAATAAGTGTCCAAGTGCATTCTTTTAAGCCGCCTCAGTAATTCAGTGTGTAGATGTCTGCAATTATTAAACACAAGGGTCAAAAACAAAGTATCCCTCTTTGTTTTCTGGAAGTCTTAATGAAATTCCTCCTCGTTGACTCATTAATGGGAGGATTTTCCGCCCATCATGGGGCTACCAAAAGGTGGTCCAAAAGTAAGAAGCACCTCATTCCTTGTGGAATTCAAAAGGAGTTACGCAGATCATGGAAGCAAATCCTTTAAGGCCAAAGGTCAAATAACGGGAGAGCGGTCGCACTGTTTGTCCACCCAATCAAATGAGCCCAATGCGTCAGTTGGTCCAAAACTGCACTACAAATTGTGCTCAAATTGTTTTTGTTGAGGATTTATCGGCTACTGGCAGGTGGACCTTCCATGGGGGGCAAAATCAATCCCAGAGAAGTCGGAACCACTTCAATGTTGCAATGCTGGAAGAACTAATGCAGTCTCACTGGATCACGTCGCTTCATCTTGAACACTTTGGAAATAAGACCAACTTAGAGTTATCGCCTGATGGCTTCCCTTCCATCAGCATGGGAAAATGACTTTATTCCAAATCCGCATCAATTAATAGGTGGTTTGAAGTCAGCAAATAAGGCATGTGAAACGAATCCACCCAGCATGGGGGCCGACAAGTCCCAAACTCGGTGCTCCATGGCAGTTTTGTCCACACTCTTCCCTCTCTCAGAGGCCAAGAAATGCTAACTTACAAATAGGACGATTGAGTGGCGAATTTTGTTTGCTGCAGCTGTGGATGTGAGTCGGTA